GAACACTGCAATACAAAAAGAGCTTCTATCAAAGGTTATTCCTTAGACTTCAGGTAATCCATCCAAGAGGCATAAGGCAAGAAAAACAGAATGTGGTTAGTTCTGCTGTTAAGAGTTATTTCTTTAATTGTACTTTTAAGTGCTTTTTTAAAAAGCATATCCTAAAAGTAATGTTGCTGATCCCTATTAAGGTTTACCAGGGCAACTTAGAATTCCTCTCGCAAGAGCAACACCAACACCGAGGCCTCCCTGCTTTACTGCAAACCATGTTATATGCCTAGTTGTTTCCACTTTCACGGATATAATCACTGTTATGACCAGATGCCCTATTATGGAGTATAAGTGTAAATAGTTAACAAGATCTGTGCAAAACCACACTGAAGAATCAGAAACCACACCAAAACATTCAAAAAGAAGATAACACATTCCTTTAACATCTTTATTTATAATGGTAAATGAGTATTTACAACAACAGTAGAGAGCAAAGTGGCTTCAGTGAGAGCCAAAATACTTGAATCTCTATATAGGTGGAATCGACTCAGTCAAAAAGTTAATGGCCGATAAGAACAACGAACGGGAAGCCTGAAAACAATTCAGCTAAATACATTGGCGAATCTCACTGAAAAAGACAGTTTCTGTTATATATTTACCTTTTAAAAACAGCATGCTTACTCAGCAGAGAGTGACCTAGCAATCAAGTATGTCTCCAAGCATCCTGAGCCCCTGTCAACCTTACCTAATCATAAGGGATCTCAAAAACAATACTTTCAACAAGCTGAAACACCAAGAGTTTTTCATGTCTTTCTGTGACTATTCCTTCTTCAGGTGCTGATGCAAAAGCATCACTGCACTTTCAAACAAACACTTGCAAACTCTTTTTCAAACTCTTGCATGTGACAGAAATATCAGCTAGCCACTGCTGATATTGCTTAACCAAAGGCCATTGCTTAACCAAAGAAAATAAGTACTGTCCCAACATGTAATGCTGGATTTGCTTAAAAAGAACCCAATAACTGCTGTTGCATAAATGCAGTGGAAGAAAAAATAGCTTATTGTGCAAAACCTCCTCGAGAGTAACTATTTTCTTTAAGCTTCATTTGGCAACCTGAGGCACACAACCCCCGCAAGCGGCTACCCCAGAGCTCGGTGACGGGGCACCCAGGGCCCGACGGTGGGCAAACCGGAGCCGTGGCCGGCCGCTCAGGGCACGGCACCCCGGG